CTACGAGTAAGATTCAGAAAAACTGCAGCGTGAGCAACAAAAAGAGCTGTAAGTCTTAATCAAAGCAAAGATTTCATAGTTTCCAGCTTTCTTTAGCTTGTTTCCCTATCCCACATCCCTCCATCGTCACAGATCCAGTGATTTCCTGAAAAAAAACCCTCTGCTTTGAGCTGGACTGTAGAGGACATAGAAGTATTTTGGGTTTTTTTAGAAAGGACTGTCACTGGAAAGTCCTTTTCATTATTTCTCATAGATATTTCATGACCATGATACAAAGAAGATATTTGAGAACATTTATTTCAACCCTTTTTGTGCTATGAGAAAATATGAATCTGAATCCAAGTGCATGGATATTTGTACAAACTTAAAGTATTGTAATGGCACATATCTTCTTCTGTACTCCATGTGCCTCATGGGATTTTAAAGAGGAAAATTAATGTATAACAGGGATTCTCCTGACAAAGGAGATCATTCTTCCCTTGGGCAAATACAGGATCCTTCAAGACACTGGAGAGATTAACAGAGGGAAAAGAACCAGTAAAAGCTAAGCCTCAGACAGAATCACGGAATTAATTAGGTTGGAAAAGAACTCTGAGATCACTGAGTCCAACCTATGACCAAACACGAAGTCAACTAGACTATGGCAGTAAGTACCACACCCAACCTTTCCTTAAACACCACCAGGTGACTTCACTACATCCCTGGACAGCCCATTCACAATATCTAGTTACTCCTTCTGTGAAGAAATTCCCCTGGTGCAGCTTGACACTACATCCTCTTGTCCTGTCATTGGTTTTTCGGGAGAAGAGGCTGATTCCCACCTGACTACAATCTCCTTTCAGGGAATTATAAAGAGTGGTAAGGCTTTCTCTGAGACTAAATGCCCTCAGCTCCCTCAGCCACTTCTTGCAGGACTTGTGCTCCAGACACTTCCCCAGCTCCACTGCCCTTCTCTGGACATACTCAAGCACCTCAATGTCCTTCCTAAATTGAGAGGTTCAAAACTGAACCCAGCACTTGAGGTGTGGCCTCACCAGTGCCCAGTACTGGTGGACAATCACTGCTCTGGTCCTGCTGGGCAAGTATTTCTGACCCAAGCCAGAATGCTCTTGGCCTTTTGGGCCACCTGGGCTATTGTTCAGCCAGCTATTGACAAGCACCTCAGGCACTTTTTTGCTGAGCCACTTTTGAGTCACTCTGTCTCCAGCCTGTAGCTCTGCATGGGGTTGTTGTAGCCCAAGTGAAGGACCCAGAACTTGGCTTTGTTGAACCTCATTCCATTGGTGTTGGCCAGTCAATCTAGCCTGTCCAGGTTCCTCTGCAGAGCTTTCCTGCCCTCCAGCAGATCAACACTCCCATTCAACTTAGTGTCATTCAGAAATTTGCAAACAGTAGACTCAATCATCTCATCCAGATCATCAATAAAGATAATTAAACAGGACTGGGCCAACACTGATCCCCGAGAAAACATGAACAAAAAATCTCCTATTTTCTGGGATCTAGAGAAAATTATAGAATTGGCTGCAATTAAAAAACAAAAAAAGGTAAGATACAGCATGACAAAAATCATGCTTGAAATACAGCATTTGCAAAGATACAGAAGACAGGGAGATATTAGCTTATAAACCTTTAGATTTTTATTCTGTGAAGTGTAATAATTTCTGATTTTCTAAGGTTACTGTTTTAGCTTATACTCTAATAAATAAAGCCCTTTGGCCTTCTTATGTGAATTTGATTTCAAGAAGGTCTAGTCAGACTCAAAGCTTAAAGCAGCAAGAGTAGTTCCTGAGCTTATAAAAACATGCTACTGTAGGTAAGAGATTTAAAATACCCAGGTGGTTAAAAATCTTTCAGTTATGGTTCTGAAAAGTTTTATCTTAGCAAAACAGTTAAAGAAAGTGGTGCTTTTTCTAATAGATCTCTTAAAACAAAGTACAGTGAAAAACATAAGGGGGCAAATTCAAACTGTAGATATTGATAAAGAGATGTGTAGTGCAATGGAGAGGAGAGGAAAAAGATAAACCTGAATAATTACATAAAATGCTCTCTTCAGTTTAATCCTGGTCACTTGTCACGCTCTAAAATTTACAGAATAAAGATGCAAGTAAAAGAGCTAAAATAGAAATCTTCAACAGTAAAATAGCTTTCTAATTTCTCTCGTAGCCCTGAAATTTCAATGCTGTTGGAAGTTGGTGAACCACACCCATTTGCAAGATTTGCCCTAACTCATCTGTTTTTGATATCAGAAGCCAGATGTATTTAATGACAAGTATCAGCTTTTGTTCACAAACATGAGTTTAAAGGTTAATTATACTACACTCACTGGACTTGTACCTAAGCGATTGCCCAGAACTCTAAAAGATGTTATAAAAAACCCTGTACTACTCTAAAATTGTCCAGAATCAGCATCTTTTCTAGTCTTATTCAAAGAGACTTCAACCTTTGCAGCTGAGCAATGGGGGAATCAGCAAAGAGAGGAGTCAAAGAGCCCTTCTGTGTCAGTTAGGTCTTTCACTTATCATTGAACTCCAACCTTAAAAAAATGCCTCTTGGTGGCATTTATACAGGCAAATTTACCAGTATTAAAAAGAAAAAAAAAATCTAACATAGTGCCAAAGAGAGAAAACTGTTCATACCGTATATAAACAATGCTAATTATTAATCAACAGTATACTACTGGTTTATACTGTGACATGGGAGTCACAGTATAAAATACAGGCATTTTTGTGTAGAATTTGTCATATCTGGAGGGAAACTCTATCCTAATACTTATTTGAAGCATAAAAACCGACACAACTGAATTTATTTTTTGTTCAGTGCAAGTATAAAATGAACTACTCTAAACATAGCTATACTGTTGACTATTAATTGTGCCCACGGCATATTGGTTAAGAACAAAACAGTTGGTCAGACACCACAGTAATCAAATATGGTTGCCTGAAGGAGTGATTGCCTGAAGGAGAGAGTTAGAATAACAGGCTTCACTGCTTTTATTACTTTAAGATGTCTTCCAGCTCTCATATGTGAGGACTTCTTACCATCACACTATTGTTCTCACACAGCTTCTGAGGCTGATTCTCAAGTCAGTATGTAATGAGTTTGGGTTTGGAAATATCCTTGTCACTTTTTCCACTACTGCATTCTGGTTTGGAGAAAATAAACCAAGTGCTGTAGTTCAATCTGTCCCCTTTCCTACATTCTATCTTTCAAAGTCTTCTTGTATATATAAGAACAAGTCTTACAGCACTATTCAAATCAGGAATTAGCATTTATGCTATTTATGAAAATTCTTGTAGGTATCTCTTACAGTGTTCACATTGACTGAGATGGAATAAGCTGCACATTCACTAAGCTTGGGATGACTTCTGGCATTTTTTCACTGTAATAGAATGCTGAGAAAGTTTTATTTTAATTTGGGCAATGGGTTGGACTGAGTAATTTTCCTCTAGTTAATAATTTTATCAGAATGTAAGGTTTTTCCTTGTTTTTCAAAGAATGAGACATGGACATTGAAAGAAAACAACTGGAAAACTGTGTTTCACTAGGTAAGGATACGACCAACTCACAGTTTGGCTGCAGTCAGAGAACTTGATTATGTTACACACATTCCTTATGTTTACTGTGCACAAAGAAGCATTTTACCATAAAGAAAAAGACACATTCTGTGAAGAAATATTGACGTGTATATCATGGTATACACCTATGGAACATTCCCTGATATAACATGAACATCAGCAATGGTCTGTTGTTGTGGACCTCAGTTATATTTCTGAGTTGAGTTGGTGACTATGAATGTGGGACTAAACTTCGGCTGACATGATCACAGAACTTGTGGGATCCAATGTAACTCATTTACATAAAAATCAGGTATCCCTGCTTACCATGCACAGTACAGATTCACACACAGATATTTACATACAAATAATATTTATAGGGCCACGTGTGTGTGCACGTGCGTGTGTGTGTTGCATATACTTAAACATCAGTATGAAATTCAAGCATCTACTCCTCATAGGAATTTCCTTTGTGTGACAAAAACCCACAACACTAAATTTTGTTCTTTTACTATGGAATGATGCACACTGTATCTTCCTCTTCTATTAAAGACAGATGAATATTCTCCTGCTGTGGGTCTACCCTGAAAGCAACTACATATGATATTTTCATAAAAAGAATTTGTACAGTCATTTGTTTTAAAAAGAAGATGTGTGTTTAGTCTTTTCTGCACATGAAGCATGGAATTGTGATACAAAATCAATAAGTATATCATCCCCATATCCTAGATCATCACAGATTAAGTTTGCCAGAAAAGGAGCCAGAGGAAAAAAAAAAGGTAGGAAATAGCAAAAATATTTATCTATGTATCTCCACTTAAATGCATCTGGTTCTATGAAGATCTACTGTTTTGATTAAGACAGTTTTCTATGCTTATATATGACTTTGAAAGGGCCGTGCTAATTGTCAACAATACAGCAATTCTCAAATTCAGAGCAATTTGGAATATAACATATTCATTATTACAAGAGAAATAGCTCAGGAAAAATATTTTACATGATAATGTAGTAATACTTCTTGGCAAAGCATATATTTAATAACATAAGAGAAAGGGAGGCTTGATTTTGTGTTGAGGTTTTTTTATCACAGAAATTAAATGGAAGAAAACCATTTTCCTCATTCTGCAGCAGAAGCCATTTCTGTCCTTTAGCCTGGAATTGCACATTCTCAGAAAAAAGAAAAAAAAATTGGTCACTAAGCAGACATGCTTGACCCAACTCTGCCAGAAGGAGAAACTGGAGGACAGCCCAACTCCACAGAAAGTGCTGTACTGCATATGGGTGACACATTTGCCCTTTCTCCACCAAATGAGAAGTACCCTGACCATTTATTCATTTGACTGTGGACATATCCCCGTCTCTACATGGAAGAAAATTAACTACAAACCAAAATAGATAGTACAATGCTTTTCAAGGCAGTTCATGCGTTTTTAAGGAAACACTTACAGATCACTGTAGACAAGGCCATAAATCTGTGCTGTGCTGTGATGGTAAATTCCTCTCAGGATAATTAGAAGAAGGATAACAACAAAAGCTGGAAGCCCCCAACTCAAAAGGAAGTAAAGCAGATAGCGTCTCTCCGTGTGTTCATCATTCATCACAAGGACATACCAGAAATTAACAGCCTGAAGAATAATGAACAAAAACAATCAGTAGACTTACTGGTGATAAACTATGCCAAAAACCAAATCACTCTGAAGGTCACAATGCAGCATATTTCTGCCCCGGTACACGTGCATCTATATAAACACTATTCAACGAAAAGACTTTGTTCTCATTTTTTTTTTCCTTAAGCAATGAAAAGACACTATAAAAGCAATATGTTTAGTTATATAACTATTTCAAATTAGACCAACATAGAGGAAGAGAGATGCCATTTAGAAAAGAACACTATTTTTGTGATGTAAAAATAGCTTTTTGCTGCAAAAGTAATTTTTTCTCTAGATATTCATATCTTCACACAGAAGACTGGCATAGCGTATTTCTAAATCTGATCCATATTTAATATTTTTATGTTATTGTTCAGCTACATGTATCTTGTAGGAGACACACTAAGCTCCTCCTATGGTTCTGTACTGAGATCAGCAGTACAAGACAGACATGGAGCAAGTCCAGCAATGGTTCACAAAGATGACTGAGGGATGGAAAACTTCTCCCATGAGGGGAGGCTGAGAGAGCTGTGGCTGTTCAGCCTGGAAGGAGGATGCTCAGGGGGATCATATCCATATCTGTAGACATCTGATAGGAGGCAGTAATGAGGAGGGAGACAGACTCTCCTCAGTGATGCCCAGTGGTGGGGCAAGAGGCAATGCGCCGAAAATTAACGTACAAGATGCTCCATCTGCATACAAGAAAAAGTTTTCTTACTGTGGGGGTAGTCAAACACTGGGCCAAGATTCCCAGAGAGGTTGTGGAGTATGTGTCCTTGAAGAACCTAAACCAAACTGACCATGGTACTGGGCAACCTGCCCTAGCTATCTGAGGTAGAGTGTTGCACTAGACATTCTTGAGACACCCCTAAAATTTCAAAAGTTCTATGATTCTGTGTAAAATATGCATAAGAGTTTGAGAAAAAAATGCACATAAATTAATGTAAATTCACAGGCATCTCTAAAACAGTCCATGTTTTCTTATGATCAACTCACCATCAAATAGTATAATTTGTTTTAATATCATATATGAATCAAAATAGTGGAATACCTGAAACCTCATTAAAGAACTGGTAGTATGAAAAAGGAAACCCTCCAAGTAAAACAGAATACTCAACATATTGCTTAGATTTTTGAATTTTGTTCAAAGTGTTCAAAGTAGAAATACTGTCATGTGTGAGCATTTTTTCATGTACATCTGCACACTACTGTCTAATAAACACCTAAGCTATCAACAATTAAAATATTTTTTAAAAAACTTTTCTTCACTTTCTCCACTTCAAAATTGTTACCACCTACTGTATTATTATTTCTGGGCTTTTATATGGGGTGAATAAGGGATTAATTGTCTTTTTCTGCATATAAGGTATCTAATTTGAGCTTGTGCCTTTAAGCATATCTTGTCAGTCAACAGAGACAGGACAGGCACCTTCAGGCACTCATTAATCCTAACCCGAGCATAATTATCTCTCTCCATGGTCTACACAAGGGTTTATTATAATAATGTTGATATACATGCTTTATTTTCAGCTATCTATGGTAAGAATAAGTAAAAATTCAGATACTGTGACAATACAATGCAACATGATTATTTTATTGAGAGAAATTTTTCACATTTCCCTCAGCCAAGGGCTTGTCTTCCCCTTTGTTCAGGAACACTTACTTTTAACATTCAAGTACTTAATTAGTTATTTCTGGATTCCTTATATAGGTCTCATTAGTTAACAATAATTTCACGATTTTTAAATGTGATTTATATAGCATGAATATGCAATACTTTCTCATTGATAATAAAGCACATTGCATGCTATAAACTTGTTTAGAAGGGTTAGTAAGTGTTTTAAATGCTTTTCTAGAGAATGAGATTTCATTGCTATGTACAGTGTATATAATTATACTGATTTTATAAAAATTATGTCTTTTTTTTTTGTTTTCCTTTGGTCATTAGTGCTATATGAACAAAGGAAAAGTTTATTTTCCTTAAAAGATCCGGGAAATCCCACCACATAATTGCAACTATCCTTTGTAAGTTGAAATAACACAGAAAAACTATCAATTCCATTGCTGGACATGCATAGGAAGAAAATATTAAACAGATGAAAATGGTATTTGGACAAAAATCCACAGCTTGTGGAAAGATTTGGTTGTTCTTTTTTATGTGGGATTGAATACTCATTTAAAATTCTGTTTGTCACTTTATGTCAATAAACACACTTCAATTGCATGCCCTTATAGTCCTGGTTAGGCTGTGCCTCACTGCAAGTGCTTTCAGAAAGCAAAATCTTTTAACTTTATATGCCATTACACTCAGGGAATGTTGGTTCTACTAATTCTGACAATCTGACGAACCTTGTTCTCAGTCATCCAACTGAAATTGCTTTCTGTGAAATCATACCTCATGTCCTTGATCTCTGTTTGGTTAGCTATGTTTAATTATCTTACCTCATTTATCGCAGCATAACAACACCAATGCCACTGTAAAGGTGTAAGTGAGATTGGATAATTCACATTTTCTGCACAGTCACATTTAGTATGTTGGTAATTACCAGTTCTTATCTTCAACCCCTTTTGATGCTTCAAAATGTAATAAATTAAATAATACAGTAGCTTGATGCTTCAAAATGTAATAAATTAAATAATACAGTAGCTAATTTTTGCAAATCTTTTCCTGTTATCATCCTGCAATAATTACCAGTTCAACAGAAGAATAAAATGTACAGTCCATTTTCCAGCTGCTCAGGTGGAAGAACAAATGGGCAAGTTGTGATTTGTTCTGATATAGAATGCAAAATAGTTTTTTTTTTCACATAACACTCTGATGAGACAATGTGAACTTCAGTGAAGGCTTTTTCTTTTAAAATGAGGCAATTAATGAAAATTACATTCCCAAAACTGGGACATGTTTATTTATTTTTTAAATTATTTGTTCATTCATTTATCTTTAGTGATAATGACAGACTTTTAGAATTTTTTTGTGCTGGTAGGAGCCATCTAGTTCCATATCTCCAAGCATGGGACATTTTCCACTGGACCAGTGTCCTGGTACCAACCAGAACAGGGTTAAGTTTGCAGTAGCCATGACTGGCACCCAGAGGTTATCCTATATCACCTCCCATCATTGCTGGGGGCCGAGGGAAGGAAGTCTTCTGGGGATAAGGGTTCTGGGTCAGTGTAGTGTGGTCGAGGGAGGAGTTGGGTATTTCTGTGTGAATCATTCACCTCTTTCTTGTACCTTCTGTCAATATTGTTGTTGCAGTGTTTGTTTCCTTATCTCATTGCTGTTTCCAGCACATTGCTTTTATCTCAACCCATGATCTTTGCCTTCTGGGCCTCCAATTCTCCTCTCCAGCCCAAGCAGGGCAGAGGCGGGGGGAGGCTGGGAGCAAGAAAGCTGTGCATGGATTCAGTGGGAGCCCTAAATTGGAGAGTACCATTCCTAAATGAGGACATAAAAGTTGTTCTAAGTCTCATTTCCAAACTGCCCTTGAACACTTCGAGGGATGAAGTAGCCACACTTCTCTGGGCAACCTGTTCCAGTGCCTCACCACCTGTGATATTCTGCAGATAGCTGGCAAACAACAGATGCAAAATATTTTATTTAAAGTATTTTCCAATCCAGCTGGAAAACTTCTGTTTTCCTTCTTTCTTCTTTTTATGAATAGCTGGAGGGGTCATTTAGTAATAATTGTATGTTTTCATATAATTTCTTTTTTGAAGCCGTTAAGCACTCCACAAATTATTCTTAAAATTAAAAGAAAAGCATCAAATTCACCTTAAGGTCAGTAAACATCCTATAAGTCTGACAAATTTATAGAAATTTATAGAAAATTTAAAGTGCCATTAAATTGATGTAGGGGAAGGATTCAGGTATGGGTGATGGCAAGTTCGTGACTTTTATTCTGGTTTGCTTGTTGAACTGACACTTTCACTGCTGATTTAATTCACTCTAGCAATAGCTCAAGAAAGCACAATCATAATTTTTCCATAATTTTACTCTGTGTCACAACTGGCAATTGAAAACTACAGAATTTTTTTTTACCTGAATAGACAGCTTTTAATTTTTTCTCTAACTTACTTTTTGCAACACCTTAGAAAATACGAAGAGAAGAAACTTATTTTCCTTGCAGTGCTGGAAGACACTCAGTGTATGCTCCTAAGATAAATGCATTTGAAAATACAGGTTTATGCTGTTAAGTTGTACAAAGGGACACTTGTCAGGATGAAGATCTCTGCATGTCAGACATTAATATAAGGCAAATATTTCAGGCCCATGAAGAGCCATTTGAACCTTGCTTACTCCTTTTCTTTCACAATTAAGAAAGCCTCATCCTTTAAAAAATTGGGTGATGCTATCAACTTTCTCTGACTTACAAATTTTCTCTATAAAAAGCAAGAAACAAGACTGTCCAGTAAAAAAGGGAGAAGAACAAACAGACAAGCAAGGATTATTCGATGTAATCTTTGTCCTGAGGCTGAAAATGGACCAGGTGACCTCTGAGACCCTTTCCATTCTTACATTTCAGTCAATATATTAATAGTAGCTACATTTGTAGCAGAAATACTGACATTGAATATGTCTACAAAAACAAGAAGCTTAAAAGAGAACAAGAATTAAAACATGAAGCTATAGATAAATTGTTTTGTAAAGAGCTAGAAAGTGAAGATCTTTGATCTGGACCAGAGAAATTAATCTATATATGTCTGACTGTACTATTAAATATATGTTTTCTTACAGAGCTTTGTTGCCTGGAAATGTTGCTCCACCACCTTTTGATCACTTCAAATCATCTGGATTTTATGGATGTTTCAGTTTCACATACCTGCACGGTGGTTGTACTTGATTATTGCATTTACCCATTTTTGTACCCTGAGATCAAGGTAGTCACTTGCAGATTTGCATGATTGTGTTAGTTTTACTTGAGGAAGGACAGACTTAAAGGTTTTTCTCTATGAGAGATGCCTTTTTTGAATCTGATGGGACCAATTGGAGGCTGGTGTGTTTATTGACAGCGTGAGGAATCAATTGGAGAAAGTTAGTTTGCTCCATGAACACACATTTTGAAGGAAGTAATCCGGAACTGGGCTCTTTTCTTTTCCAGCGGCAGTGCAGGTAACACGGCCTGGGCCTGGTCCCACTGCAGGCCTGCAGGCCTGGCAGGGGCAAGGCTGGGCCCCCTGTCTGGGGAGCTGGCATGGCCAGGCAGAGAGGAGGGGTGGCCATCAACAGTGACCAGAGAGACTCAGGCTGATTTAAAATCCCAGCTGCTTTTCTCTCCCTCTCCTTTTTCAGTGTGGCCGGGTTTCCGAGATCCTGGCAAAGCACCAGCATTGTAGACTTGGTGTTTTTTCCCTGTGCAAAATCTTAACTCCTTCAATGCTCAGATAAGACTTGCAGACTTTTGAATCCTTCCTGGAGTGAGAAGGGAAAAAAGAAAATATTCTGAAGTCAGTGAAGCAAGAGCTAAGTTATTTTAGATGAAAGGAGAATGAGGAGATGCTGTGAAGATTGCTGAAAAATCCTTTTGTATGTTGTAGGGATGAACTGATGTTACATTGAATATTCCTATAAACCATAAAAAAAAGACATGGGGGGGTTGGTGATGTTCCATTAGATAGATCATTTGACTAAAAAGCACCTGTGTTGAGAATCTTTTGCCCCAAGAAAAAAGGAGATCTTGGTTTTCTGAGGATGAAGCATGAACAGAGAGAAAAGAGATGAAGAGAACTTTTGCTTTGGAACAGTTCAGTCTTAAAAGTAATACCCCATGAGTTTAACATGGCCTGTAGTTGCAGCTTTGGGAAAGCTGTGAAGACGGGAGGGGCTTCACGACTTTGAAAGTTTTTTCCTGAGCAGATGCAAATCATGAAAATGAAACCACAAGAGGACTGTTTTCTTCCTCCTTGTAGAGAAATCCCTATAGCTTGACAAAAAGAAACTTCTCTCTCCGAAATGAACAAAAAAAAAAGACTATTTAAGTTGGGAACTGACTGAAGTAGTTTTTTGTATGTTTGTTTTATTGTCATGAAGGCTGGGAGAGGGAAGGAAGGAGTGGTCTGAAAAATCTTATTCTGAATTTGGTTCTTTTTCTTTCTTTGTGTAGTTAATAAATTTCTTTTTATATCCTTTTAAGTTTTAGGCCTGCCTTGCTTCTGCTCCTGGTTCTGTCTCACAACAGAAAATGAGTTTATTTAAATTGGCAAATCAAAACCATGACAATGATATAAGTCAATTATCAAACACAGGCACTATTCTATGCAGCCTCAGAGAGGGCAGAGTGACTGCACAAAGGACACAGAATCTGTTCCTGTATTTCTGTTCTTCTCCAGACATAAGTATTTAAGTCCCATTTAAGTATAAATTCTTTATTAATTCTGCTTTTCAGATCAATTCATATATTTAAAGTAGACTACTCTGAGAAATACAAATATTAATTTCCCAGACCTTTAAGTCTGCCATTCAAACAGCAGTAGCACCCAGACTTCCCAAATCAGTCTGGTTTCCCCTTTGATCCACAAGCTCTTCTAGAGTTGTCATGGGGACCAATTCAAGCACAGAGATGTTCCCAGCACTCCTTCCTGTGCCCTGATATAGCTTACTTACTCCATAATTAGATATAAAAATTGAAGACTTATTCCCAGCTGAAAGGAGCAAACTATAGCTGAAGACTTGGTTGATCTATATTTCAGATTATTTCTTTCCTTTTGGGTCTTTCAAAGTTCAGGAATTATTCTCAGCTGAAGATCTGTACCTACAAAAATGAGAATTGTCTTCATTCTGCGTTTTACTCCTGGCAAATCATTCCTCAGCAGGCTGATGGATGCCCACTTAAGAACTTTTGTCCTGTCAGATTTCCATGAAGAGTCTTCATGTGTAACAGAAGCCTGAGGCTACACTAAATTCTAAGTATTATGCAAGTTCTTAGGATTTAACCAAAGTCTACTTAAAAAAAACAACACTGGTTTTCAACTACAGACATAACAATCACCGTTAACAGTCATACAATTTTTTTGGCATTATAAATAATTTTTGCAACTCAATGCAATGTAAAACACATAGAATGGGATGATGAAATACTATCAAACACTGAGTTGCCAAAGCTTGAGACATTCCAGTAAAAAAGAAACTTAAGAATGTTACTTTTTTTGTCCAAATTAACAAATGGTGAAGAGCTCTGAAGCAATTTAGGAATTAAGTGAATGAGCAACTGTGGAGAATATAATTTACAGTTGACAAAATAATTTAGAGTAGTTAAGCTGCAAGAACATCATTTGCCAAGCAAACAATTTTCTCTATTGAGGCCGTCTACGTGTAGGTTTCTAAGGCTAATGAGCACAGCTGAGCTGTTGGAGAGGCCGCTAGGGTTATCAATGAATATGAGCCTGACATATCCCAGGAAAATGCCCAATATCACATGAATGTTACTGGGAGAGAAATTAGATGCAGCCTAATTTGCAATTCTTGGTTTGGTCTGACAGTCTGCATATTGGAAGATTTGTATGGTAAGATACAGAACTGCATATATAAAGCTGTATGCTATAATAAATATGCTGGGGACAAATCCTCTTAAAATAACAGAAAAATGTAAGAGCCAAAAAGGAGGGATGTTGGGCTCCAGACAGCTCTTTAAAATGCTGTTTATTATATCCAAATGATACAGCAATTCATGGGTCATGGGTGACAAGAGCCCAGCCCACAGCCTTTTCAGCCACAGCTGTAGGCTCGTCTGAAGCCTCCTCCAGTTCTGGTTACAATGCATTATATACTTTTCATTACAGAGCATCTTAATACATGACAACCAATCAATACTTTTACTATTACTTATAGCCTATCCTAACTACTAACATTACTATATTCATGTTACTATTTCCAATCACAAAAGGTTAGTATGTTACAGTTTAAGCTAGAAGTTGTTTTTCAGTTTTCTTGCAGTGGAAAATTCTGAGATCTTTTCTCTACTTGCAACATTGGCTTTCTTGTTTGTCTGTGAAAATCATTTTGTTTCGTAAAAACATCTTTTGTTTAAGGTGGGTTTATCCTTTGCTCTGTATCATAAAATCCTCTTCCAACTCACTAGTTCTTTGCCTTCTAGTTACCCAGTAAGACCGGCTCAGCAGTTCTTCTATATCAAAACTTGCTATCATTTCTATTCCTTCTTCAGATTCTACATTTAACGATCTTTCTGTTACACATACATATCTGTGAGACCTTCCTGTCAAATCCTTATCCTTCCCAACAGAAAAATAAATCACTTAACTCACATACTGGTGCTAAATATACATTTCTAGATGAGGGCATAATAATGTATTTTTTCAAATAACCCCACAGATTGTTATTTTGACAAACTTTAACAGGTAATTTTCCATAACTATTTTCATTGTTCAAGGTGTTCCATATTAGTTCAATTGCTTTTTCCACCATTTACTGTTCTATAATATATCAAATGAGCAACACAGATGTGAGTAGTCTGGAGTTTGATGAGAAATGGCTGAGGGAGCTGGGAGTGTTCAGCCAGAGAAAAGGATGAGGGGACATGGTTTAGTTGTGGGCTTGGCAGTACTGAGTTAACTGTTGGACTTGATAATCCTAGAGGGCTTCTCCAACCTAAATGATTCTATGACTCTATAAAAATTCTGGTAATAATTATGAATACATATATTCTGCATTTTAATGCAAAATTGTGAAGGTGTGTTTGTCATGTTATACAAGTTTAATGACTAAAATGCCATTGACTCAACGAATTACAGTGTAGTTTACATTTACACTTCACCTGTAAGGGACGGTTTCAAAAGACCAAATAAGATATATTTAGAAAAACTACGAACAGTCAGAAAAATAATTCTTCCTTGTTCTGAGACAATTCTTCCTTGTTCTGAAGATGAAGTGAGATGAGGACATTCTTACATAGCTGTAATGGAAATGAATGGAAAAAGTCTTTGGAGTTGTGTCAGTGTAGGCTTAATAAAAGCCATCTAAAGTTCTGGCCTTCTAGTAGCACTGAATGTCAGTGCTCTATATCTCTCTCCATACATAAATATACAGATATGTATATCAGGGCACTAAAATATAATAGAAATACAGTCTAATATCTGTTATTTTTACAGGTGTTTTGGGGAAGTGATAAAAAGGACTAAGATACCAACCTGAATAAGCATCCAGCTGAACTGGCAGAGGTAAAGGTAATGAGTAACAGATGCAAGGGCAAAGCAGCTTTCCTCTGAGATATGCTGGCTCATGTAAGCAGAGGCCAGAAATGAAACCTGCCAGGGAAAAAATGAATACATGCATATTGGAATTAAACAAAATTAATTTAATGTTAACAATAAGGAGGAACAATAGTTTGGAATTAAAACATACACTAAATTACTATTTCAGAAACTTAGGAAAGATATCTTGGACATTTAATATTCACCCAAAAGAATTTATGCTTAAACAGTGTCTACTCCTAAACCAGCTTTAAACTTTTTGCAGACCATCTCCTATCTCTTTGTTGAGAGATGTTAGTTGTTTAATATGACCTGAGATTAGCTCAGCTGGTTAGAACATGGTGCTAATAATGACAAGCTTGTGGGTGCAATCTCTGTACTCACTTAAGAGTTGGACTCAATAATCCCTGTGTGTCCCTTCTAACTCAGAATATATTCTTTAATAAAGTAAGTTTTAAGTGGAATGACTTAAATTGAGTTATATTACTCAGATTAGTGTGTTGCTTGTTTTGCTTTACTAGCTTAGCACGAGCAGTTGGATTTGCTGAAGCCTTACTTGAGAAGTTGTGGTCCTACACCTAGATATATTTTTGTCTGGAATGGAAAAGAATATTGATACTGCTCTTGTTATTGCTAGGTAATGTTTATCCTAAATCTAGGGCTTTTTAATTTCCCATGATCTGCCAGCTAGCAGGTGCTGTACCACTCTTAAATTACTTATTTTTACAAATCTGACAGTCTGCTATGGGAAAACAAGGGTCAAGCTTGAAGAATGAGAAAGCACACCTGAGACGGAGGGTGTGTGTGGGCAAGGAGTCAGGAGAGACACCCATAGGCCATCTGGAGCTGCCTGGTCAGGTGGTGCACGTGTAACTCCTTGTGTGGCATGAGAATACCTTAACACACTGGACTGCACACTGACAACAAGACTAGAGAGAGACTTAATATTTATTTTTTAAAATTGTTCCCATGCAACATTATACACGGGTTATGCAACTGGGGGATGGAGATTTTCCTGTATAAAACTAAAAGATATGTTATCTTCTGATTTTAGCAAATCCAGATATTTTTATCAAGTAAACAAACTCAAAAGGCATTTACTGTCTTCAGACTGTCAGACATATAGGAATATAATACCTTAGCCTCTAAGATAGCAATACTGAACAAAAGGGAGGAAGCAACTATTCCTTTGTCTAATAACATACCAAGATTTTACATTCACAAGGCAGTTACAATTTGGTTTTTTCCACAGTTATGCCAAATCTCAAAGGACTGTATGTTGTCTGGATAAGTAGCCAATGCACTGTCTAAGCAACAAAGGTATTCCAACTCTGACTGCAATGAATGCAAATAGACAATTTCAACATAGCATTTTAAATTAAAACACAAGCTGGAAACCTTAAGCTCTGTCTTCTGTAAATTTCTTTACAGAGGAATGGTTCTACATGCAAAATTCATAAAAGACTTAAAGTGTTCACATAAAGAAAGGTTCTTTTCATCCACTGTGCTGATCATTTTTTCTTTCTCTGACAAGAGTACTACTTTTTTGACCAACAGACAATTGGCTTGTTAGTAAAATAAATTAATGGACCATGGAGAATGATTTTATGTATATAAAATCAGGGAATGGTGTAGGTAAGAAAGTTAAAGTAAATTAAGTGATTTGGGAAACATGTGGACACTGTATTTGGAATAAAATATTCGTATGGTACTGGGTAACCCTTACACAGTCTCATTATCATAAAAGTACCCTTATAAAGGCAGGATAATGTTACCACCATGAAATGGAAGAATAACAATGAGAAACTGGGGAACAAGTGGACTAAAAACAATTATGAACTGCATTTCAATATCTAAAAGGAAAAAAAAATGCACTTCAAGTATTTGACGTGATATTTATCAGCTTCTGCTGGGAACTGGCATCTAATCATGGCCACATAATCATTCAGTTATTAAGACGTTAATATACAGCTTAATAAAGACTGGCCTTTGCCAAATCCTGACACTGCTGAAAGAAATCCCATCATCTGGAGTGGGTTAAACACAACTGAAATATGTCTGCAATAGATGCCATCCATGAGGGATAAGAAGTTTGTGAAAACAACCCCATAGCAGCAGCTCTCTCAAACACTACCAGTAGTAATTTGTCTGAAACCTGAGCAAATGCTTCTATTGACAACAGGCATCTGGGTGGAAAGGCTTTACAATTTTTGTTTTCTGAAGGCTTCTGTATATGTCGAGGACAGACTGCTAGGCTAGAGACAGAGACAAGTAGGGATTCAAACACAAAAGCAACTGATGGAGTCCTGGAAATATGTTTTTAACCCCTTTTAGACTGAAAGCATTTTGAATTTATAACCACGAAACTGTAATTCCTAACATCCTCCTTTACGTCAAGAAAAATAAGTGTTTGCATACTAAGAAAGAAGAGTATATCACTGCATGAACAGTTTTCCAATTACAACAATGCAAAGAGTCCAACTATGTGCTAAAAAATGCATATCTTTGATAGACACTGACTTTTCTTAATGGAACAAGACTGCAATATGGCTGGAGTAATCCCTCAGCTAAGAGTTCACTGTACTTACTTTTTTTTGGGAAAGAAAAAAAACCCAAAAAACAAAACAAAACAACAAAACAAAAACAACAAAAAAACCCCAAACCAAAACAAAATAAAACAAAACAAACAAAAAAGGTAAAATATAAAATTTTCATAGATTTGTTATCTTGCATCTTGGTCAGAAGATACAAATGAGGCTCGGTTTATAACAAAAAACCCCACAAATCAACAAATGTGCCTTCCCAATAAAGTGTTCTTTAGACTAATTGCCTCATGTCTTCTGTGCCTCACTTAGTTATTAACTGTAGGGTGCAACCTTTTGTAACAAGGAATCTATTACTTTAATAACAAAATATGAACCATCTATTGGAACAAGCTGTTCCCTCTTGGATCTTTAAAATATATGCTCATTATAATACTATTATCCAGAACTCTTTTTTCAGAGAACTTACCGTTTAAATAGCCCTTTTCAATCTTTGTATACTGACATTTAGTTCTATGCTGAGATGATAACATAGTGCTTCTTCTTCATACTTGTCAAGGTGATCAGTCTTGACCCAAAATGATTTAATTGATAATCCCTTAAATTGCTCAAGTAGCCGGCTGATGCTTTTATTAATTTTACTGTGATGTTTCCATACCACACTGAAAATTATGATGATAGCATATCATTCAAAAGGTTCCCCTTGACAAAGTGGAAAAATACCCAAAAAACCTATAAATAAATGCACTTCTGTATAACAGCAAAAAGCTCTTTGACAGTGTGCCCATCTGACAGTCAGTTACTCAGTTAGTCAAAAGACACTGCAATTATTTTAAAACTTTAAGACAATTATCTAGCAATTACTTCAAGGAAATTATTACTAGGATATTCCATCTACAGTCATCAACACCAAGCTATAAATGAATAACATAAGATGATTTACAAAATTATATATTCCTGTATGAAGAGTATTTTTGTACTGCTGTTTCCAGGTGGTAGGCTGTATCTGAAAATCACTCCTCTACTAGCCGAGATCTGCTCCTATTTTCCAGCCTGCAGATTTTCATAATCAGTTTACATCTGTTTTTATTTCTGTTGTAAGTCTGTCAGGTTACACAGGATTTCTTCCTCCTTGGGGTTTATATCATGGAGGTACTATCATGAATTTATGTAAAGCAGTAGTACAGGCTCCATTTCTCAGAGTTAGTTGAGTCACTGCACAACACAGTACTCTGTAGAGATGCCTAAACTACTTTGGACAGCAAAAGCAGTTTAACTCCATGAATACAGCATCTGCCTAGATCAATTTACCTTGTTTCTCACAGTAACCCTACATGCTGAAATGTATGCTCATACATGAAAACTTGTCCTTGTGCAAAAAGTCTTTGCAGCTTATGCATTAATCCCATTGTCCTCTATACTGGTGACACATTGATTCTATCCTTCATGAAAACACTTTGTCAGGGCTGGATGATGAAAAGCTGAAGTTTCACAAGATTCTTATCTGGGAAAATGAGTAAAATCTCCCTACATACCATGCAAAACTGCTGATCACAGTCATAGATTTACAGAACAGTTTGGAAGGGACCTTAAATATCATCTAGTTCCAAAATCCCTGCCATGGGATACCTTCCATTATGCCAGATTGCTTTTAACCCCATCCAGCCTGGCCTTGAACACTTTCAGGCAGGGTGCACCTGCAGCTTTTCTGGGCAATTTGTGCCAGTTCCTCACCATCCTCACAGTAAAGAGTATTTTCCTAATATCTAAAATTACGGTCAGTTTTAATTCTTTCCCCATGCTCTGTCACTACATACTACGGTAAACTGTTTCTCTCCATCTTCCTTGTAGGCTCCCTTCAGGTACTAGATGGCCACAATTAGGTCACCTCAAAGCCTTATCTTCTCCAGACTGAGCAATTCCAATTCTCCTAGCTCTTCCTCATAAGAGAGATGTTCCAAGATGTTAATCATCTTGGTGGACTTACTCCAACAGATCCATGCCACTTCTGGGCTGGAGACCTCAGGCATGATTGTAGGTGGGGTCTCATGAGAACAGAGTAAAGGGGCCAAATCCTCTCCCTCAACCTTACGGACACACTGCTTTGAATGCAGCCCAGGATACAGCTGGCTTTCTAGGCTGATATACAGTAATACCTCAGTGATCATCTAGTACACACAGCTTCCCTTCTTATTTTTTATCAACTATTTCTCAGTGCAGAATTTTGCTGTTAGCCTACAGGTTATGACTGTTCAAATTGTTCAAGAAAATATTCCTGCATTTTCAAGACAACATTTGAGTCTTCAAAGCTAGTCACATCTTTCTATATGCTACCCCATTACCTCTTAGTATCAGTGCTTCTCTACTTTCCATCATTGGCATATTTTGCCTGGGCATTTTATTTTCTGTCCCAGAAACCAGGGCTTTATGACCAGTGTAGTACCTCTGTTTGTCACTCTCCCTTAGTTTTCTTTTCCCATTAACCTGTATCTTCCCAGATCTGAGTTCCTG